GGATTTATCACTCCTGCAGGCTGGAAACGTGCAACCGACAGCTGATACGATGAAGCTGGATGCGGTGATCAAGAAGGACAATCGTCAAGTGGCGAAAGGCGATATCCTGGTTCCGAAGAATTTCAAGGCTCCATCGCAGAAATATTCTGGTCATTTCGATTGGACTTACGAAAATGTTCGACTTTTCAATCAGTTTCAGAACGTTTACTTCGGCTTTTCACTCAGAATTCAGTTGAAAAACATTGTGTTCTGAGTTTCTCATACGACTGCTGTATTGAAATTATCGCATGTTTACGAAAATGTTTCGGAATACTCAAATCAAGTCATTGTAAGTGAATATCAAATAGGGATGAAATTCGATCAAAATCTGGATAGGTTGTGGATTAAGCCAGATATTGACTGTACTGTATTGAGAGTTTCTATTGTTTCTATTTTAGAAGCCATACAAAGCATCAGGTGAGTATGTACGGAACAAGAACGCACAAGGTTCAACACATTTGCTAACAATCGATGGTAACAACGATGTGAAAGGATCACTACAATTCGATCTACTTGATAAAGTGCATTTGAAATGGTTTGTGAGATTTTGTGAACTCTCTCTTCGAAATTGCCTATTTTAATCTGATGATTCTAAAAGAGATGATTGGTCCGACGTTCGAGAACAATTCCAAAAATTTCAGTGATGTGCAGAAAGGTGGCAGAAGGGTATCGCTTACGGAAATGACTGCGGGACCGTTGAAGTGGGATCATTTCGAGTTGGACGGACACGTTGATACGGACCATCCGTTACCGAAGAAATCCGTAAAGACGAAAGCAGCGTTCAGTTACCGAGCCAATCAGGTGATACTCATTGTGATTATGATGGATATTCATTTGGTGAGATAGTGATAAAGTGTTCTCAACAATTGAATTGCAGGTGAATTACGAGGGCAGAGTGGAATCCGATGGAGAGCGATACGCAGTGGAAGGTAAATGGCGAAAACAACAGAAGACACCGAAACAGAGACAGTATGTCTACTCGTTGGCACTACATGCACCTCAGGTATCATCGGATCGATTGATTGATTCGTTCATTGATCTATCGATCAGTTCAGTTGATCACTGAGTTGATCGGTGATTCAGTTGATTGCAAGCATTTAGACAGTGATCCGCTTAAAGGCTTACAAAACCCATAGAAAACTGCTGATGAACTGAACCAGTTTCAGAAGGCATCATTAGAGAATCGCACGTTCGAGCACATAAATTTTTATGCTGCTTGTATGTTTCATCAAAAAGTTTCAACGTTGAAGTTTTCACTTCGCTATTATCCGACATAAGAAAAGATATTGATAATGTTAGCGGTTGGTTGTTCTTTCAGGGAAGTTTGAGTGTGGGTGACGATGTTATTGTCGAAGATGCGTTCACAATTCGTCGAATGCAATCGGATGCAACCGTGAAGGTGGGACGAGACGAGTACAAAATGCACAGAACCATTGAGAATCAACCGCAACATTTCAAATTCGATAATGAACTTACGGTTAGTGATTGAATTGATTGATTGTGGTTTTTCGAGTCGATTGGATTGCTCAGAGTATTATCGTCATCTTTGAGCTTTATTCATCGATCAGATTTTTTGTCTTGAATCCTTGACATTTAAAAGATATGATCACGATTTTGTTCACCTCACTTGTTTCTGTGGCACTGAAGTGTTTGATAATTCAGCTTGAATGAATGGAGCTAGTAGTCTTGGTCGAAAAACCGTATTATCGCTTTTTTGTTGATATAATGATGGTATAGAATTTTGAAATTTCAGTCGAATACGGGCAAAAGTGCGAAATCAACGCTGGATTATACGCACGTTGGTGGTAACAGGAAGCTGGATGCGTTCTGGAAGTACAATGAGAAGCAAGTGCAAGCGGACATTGAAACGCTGTATGAAGATCGTAAGATGAAAATCAAAGCGCACGTGATCAGTAATACACCGAAAATAATTAAATTCACGGCAAGTGAAGCCATCTGATTAATAGTATTTATGTTGTTAATAGTATTGTTCTGATTAATAGTATTTATTAGTATTTATGTTGTTTTGAAGTGAAACAATTCATTTGCACAGAAATAAACTTCATCGTAAAAAAATTTCAGTCGAATATCGGATGTGAAAAAGTGACCAATTGGAATTGTGAAGTAGAAGGCAACGTGAACGATAATTACGTATTGCAAGCACACGAAAAGTTGTCACCACAACAATCCGACATCGGTTATCTATTGAGATTGGATAAATTCTTGGATAACGAAGGCAAACTCGAATATCATATCGATAAGGTGCGATAAGATCATTTGTTCATTGATCATTTAGTATTGTTATCATTTCATCCATTGTTACATTGCGTTCAATTTTATGATGGATTGAAATTTTGTTGCTTTCGGAACAGTTTCCTCGTTTTGTTGCGTGATCGAGGAATTTGAAAAAGAAAAATCATCTCGAAGGCGAGCCTAGGCGTTCACCTCGATAACTGATTGTGTTAGGAATCGGATTTGTGGAAAGATTCCGAAAATAAGCTTATGAAACCAAGAAACTTTCAGCGTGCGCAAAAGTTTGAAACGAAAGCGTTGATGAGAAATTCGAATCGTAAATATCATTTCGATATGAACGTCGACCGCGATCATGGCTCACTGAAACTGCAGACACCAACTCAATTGATCACTGACGCTCAGGTTTGTTGTCGTGAGTCTCATTCACACGAGATTTTTTGAAGCCGGTATAGGATTGAATTGGACTGAATCTTGTATAAAACTTATCAGTAATTGTTATGACTTCTCTTTGCTATAGTTGATTTTTGAAGAATTTATAGTGACAAGTCTCTCTGCTATAGAACTTATAGACAAATCGACCGAGTCAACTTTTTCGGGCATTTCGGGAATTATTGATGAAGATTCGTTGATTTTCTCGTCAAAAAACGTCTTATTTTGCTTGAAAGTAGTTGTTCGTAAAGAGGAGGTTCCCATTTTGGGATATGCGAAAGATGGAAGGAATTGATGATAAATTTCAGATGCGCGTTGTGAGAAAAGGACCAGAGGAGTTCGAGATCTCCAGTCAAGCCGGTGGAGCGGCTCGTGGCAAGGTGAAAGCGCATTTGAAGACCGCAGACAATGATCAACTGTTCCAAATACAGGTGAGAATCGCTCTCGAATGGATTATCACACATATCCATCCCTATTGTAAGATATGGATTATGAATTAATGATACAAGTTTATGTACTGAGCACTGCAATCGAGTATGATTGCATGAGAACGTGCTGTCTATGACACGGTCATACACTTCGAACTGATTCAGATGAATTCTCATTCTTTTCGGACGTGTTGTATTCGCTCTCATCGCTATCACATGCGAATACCGTTCTCTTCATGACTTTTTCTCATTCACTTCGTCTCGTTTCATTTGACAGTTCGACTCAATTTCTCATTCTGTTGCATACACTGTTTACTGGACGCGTTGACGAGTGTTGACCGTCAAAGTCAACAATACAACAATCGAATATTATTGCACAACAATGTTCGAGAGTTAAATGTTCAATTATAGAGTGTATTTGATAGAATGAGAATTTGACTTTGATTGTTGAGTGAAATGAATGAGAATTTAGCAGAAGAGAACACTTTCGACTTTGATTGTTGAATGAAATGAATGAGAAATTAGCAGAAGAGAACACTTTCGGTGATAAAAGCTATGAGAGCGATTGGAACAGCAAGGAAAAGAATGAAAACCGTATTAAAACGGCACTCAAAGACAACTGGATGTAATTTCAATGTTGCCATCAACTAACCACATTTGCATATCCGAGATAAAAAACACAATCACAATGGCTTCTATCATACATACCACGTGCATTAAATACTATTTTCCTGACCTCTCCATAGCCCGTTAACACCTCTAAATTACCCGAAGTGGGTAATTTTACCTCCTGTGAGAACCACTGTATTGGAGGTTACTCGAATGAACTCCTTTTGAGCGGTATTTCATTTGTTGCTTTGAATTGCGCGAGTGCGATTGTTTAGTATAAATCTCAACAAGTACGAGAGATTTTCAAAATCTTGGATTTGTTTTCCGTTAAACTGCGTAATTGTGAGTTTCTTTGGGAATGCATAAATGTTTTTGTAAACGATCAATTATAGGAAGTGACTTTGATGGAATGCCGACTTTGATTTGAAAATTTTCAGATCACTGATATCAAAGAGCCGTTTGAGTTGATGTTGAAGAATACGAAATCTGGAAATAGGCAAACTTCACAAGTTGAATTCACGCTCGATCCATTGGCTAGCAAGAAGGTGTGTTTTGATTTTTTAGTCATTCAAGATGAGATGAGATCATCAACGGAAATTGCAGATAACATTGCAATGAATCTCTTTAGACGACAGGGGAAAGGTTTTGGAGGGCGATAAATTCACGTATGTTCATATGAGAAAGTTGAAACGACCTGGTGGTGGTATGCCAGCAAAATTTTTTAATTTTATAGAGGGCGTTTGGCTATTGGAGAATTTTTGACGTAATGATCACGTAATGATTACGTTATTTTTTTCGATCGTTTGATCGGAATTCAATTTTAAGACGTATGGTGCGGAGAGTGTGATAGAAGACGACGGAGGTAAATTCCGTGGCATGTTGGTGACTTTGAAACATCCAAAACGTAGCGTACATGTGGAACTGCGTAGACCTGCACACAACAAATATCTGTTCTCAATTCAGTGAGATTCATTTTCATTATTTTTATTGTTCTCGAAATTTTATCACTACCATCTCATTGGTTTTGTATTTGATTCATTGGTCAACTTCTAAAGTAGTGCTTAATGTGAAGTTCAGTGACAGTGTATGTCGTGAATGAGTGCCTTCACGATCACTTCTTTTCTGATTTGAGTCTATGTCTTATCTCATGAATGCTGCTTCTTTATGATATGATATGATATGATAGTTTATAGCCGATATCTCATCCATATTCGATATCTTTGTTACAGTATCTCATTTTATATCTCATTCATGCTTCTGATGATATACCAACCAATCTCATTGCTGCTAAGGACATTATTACGAAACATTAATACTGATCAACATTATGAATGTCTTTAATCTGGCCATTCAAGTTCCAATGAATCGCAACTATACGATTAATTTCAGACCAAAAATGGGCAGTGCACGTCGTCCAACAGTGGCCGAGATGACCTATGATAAAAATCCGAATGGTTATCACTGGGAGGGATCGTTGACGGATCCAGCTTTGAAGAGTCCAATTAAAGCGAAATTTGATCTGGTGAAGAGTGGACGTGATCAACACAATTATGGATTGAGCATTAAGAGCGAGGTGAGTTCATCTTAATTACTCATTCCAGTGGGATTTTTCGATCTGCTCAGCTCAGCTAGTCGATATCCAGATTTCGATGGACAGAAAATTCCGATTAGAAGCTTTTACTTCATCTTGATAAATTGGGATTCAGTATTGTTTCTGGGAATATTTTCCGAGCGATTCGTCCGCTTTGCGCAAGAAGCCTAAGCATTAAGGTTGTTTTTAGAAACGTACGTAACTACTGAAAGGTTAGCTGATAGGGATGTGTTTTCTGTTATTCGAGAATGTCAACAAAGTCTACATTTACACTACTCACAATTCACAATTACAGTGAATGTCATCATTCGAATGATAATCTTACAGTGATTGTATCACTTTCATTAACCTTAACTCAATGAAGTGAGTGCGTTTCAGGTAGATTACAGTGGCCAACCGCAGAAGCTGATCAGTCACTCGCTGAAGATTGAACGAAAGGAGGTCGGTGCACACCGTAGACGTCGTGCTGCGGCTCATGCTGTTAAATTTGAAGCTGAGATGCTAGCGACACATCCCGCATCGTTGGTTCTACTTCATTTGTGTGAATTCATGAGAGAATCCCTCCCGTTTTGATGTCGCTTCACATCTCAAACTGATCTCCTTACGTGTGCACAGTTGATACGATTGATCAGTTTCTCACTTTGTATAACTTAAAATTAACTTTTTTGAGTTTCTCAACATTCTCTGTTGAATCTGAATTGAATACTGTGATGTCTTAATCCATTTGGGTTGTTGCTATCATCTGATTTGAGTTTGGTTGAGTATTGAGTATGGTCGATGCTTGCTGGCATCGCCAGTTCTCATCCATTTGAGTAATATCATATCATTTCTATTTCTTATAACAACTTTAAAATTTTAAAATCTCATGTTCGTTCCTATCTGTTAGGACAGAATTTGTTCTGATGATGAAGAATATGAAAAGAGGATCGATTCGAGAATATCAACGGAGTCAACTTTCACGATATTCATAAATTCACAATTACAGTGAATATCATCATTCTGGATGATAGTATTACAGTGATTGTAACCCTTTAATTAATCATAACTCTATGAAGTGAATTACAGCAATAAGCATTTGCGTTTGTGGGTGAATGTTGATCGTAAGCAAGTGCATGATGCACTACTACCGGTGCACACAACACTCGGTGTGCAGACCATGAATCGACAGAAGAAGATGGTCGAATACTCGTTCAGTGCCGACTCGGATGCGATGTCGTTCACCGAACTGAAACTTAACTATCCACAAACAAAAATGAAAGCCCGAGTGGATGCCGTTGGCGATAAACACTACAAACTGGCCTTCTATCGAGTCAGTCTTTTATTTGGTCGATTCAACAACACTTTTTGGAATACTTTTTGAATTCTGAAATGGTTTTGATGCTCATTGAATGCATCGCTTGTTCTCATTTATTTGAATTTCATATCATTTTTATTTCTCATAAGCAAAAAATATATAAATGTTCTTAAAAATGTCACAAATGGCTATAGGGACAAATCAGTTTAGAGG